CCCCAAAACCCCAAAACCCCAAAACCCCAAGATAGTCTCTTTTGAGGGAGTATCGTCAAAATAGAAATATAGTTATAATAGTGTTTGCAAAGTTTAAATTTAAATTTAAAAATGAACACCAGTCATTTAAATTCGAGTACCTCTTATATGAAGGGTTATTTTAATAACCTTGCACATTCAAGTAATAATCCTTTAAATGTGTCTTAATCGATGGTATTTCATGACAAAGCACGCTTTGAATCTGAAATATTTGATCTTAAAAAAGATGTAAGATATTAGTCATAGAACACTCTGATTATTTTTATTTACAAAGCTCTAATTATTTTTTAGATGAGGAGAAAAGACACTGAGCATGAGAAATAAAAAGCTATTTTATAGCAGAAAGTCGAATTACTAGAACTATAACTTAAGGAATCTCAAGAAAGAGAATACAACATTAAGAAGATGCATGAAACATTAATGAATGCACTACAAAATGATAATAGCTCTTCTGGTTTTAAGGTATCGATTTTTAAATGATAGATAAATCATTTTAGACGCCAAGAGCTTATGAGTATTCTCAAGGATTGCATAAAAGAGAAATTTCTGAGTTAAGAATCGATTATGAAACACAAATCAAAGAAATGAGAAATCAACTAGCTCTTAAAGATGCATAGTGCAAAGATGTTTCGATCCAAATGGAATCAATACAAATTGATAATCAAAGGAAAGTTTAGGAGTTGGAACTCGACAAGCGTGATCTTGAAAATAAAATAAAAAAGGTTGAGCTTGAAAAATAATAATACTTGATATAAGCAGAAACAGCTCAGTCTTAAACTAGTCAAATTTAGGACTATAAGGATTTACTTGAGGAAAAATCAATTGAAATCGAGAGGATTAAAATTCAACATGAGAATCACATCTAGGATTTGAGATAATCTTAAAACAAGCAAACAAATGAAAATGAAGATCAAATTCAAAGGCTAAAAAGCAAATTAAATTAAATGGAAAATGAGGTGCAATAAAAGTTCTAAAGTTAGTTGAAAAATTAATAAGATAAGTATTTGAAAGAAGTTGAGGATCTTTAGAATTAGCTCTTTGATTCACAAAGAAGATAAAGAGAAGAAACTATGATGACTATGCATGAGAGAGATGAGTTAGCGGAAAAATGCTCTAAGCTGGAAAGGTCTCTTGATAAAATAAGAAATGCGCCTTAACCAGTTACAGTTCATCTCTCTGAAGAGAACTTCAATACTAGTAGATCTTCAAAATAAAAGCAGCAAAGATTAGAAGAAGAGAATGATTACTTGAATACTTAATTAACTAAGATATCAAACTAATTAAAGGAAGCGAGAGAGGATCTAAATTAATACTAAACAAATGAAAGATAACTAAAAAAGGAAATATCAGCCAGATTAGATGAGATTGACTAGTAAAGAATGGACTTTTAAAGAAAGATCAATGAAGAAAGAAGAAAATATACTCTGCTAGAAGATGAAATGGTAACTATGAAAATGGATCTTGATCGAAAGAAAAATGAATTTGTCTCTATCCTTAATGACAAGGACTCTTTGATTTAGGAACTTAAAAGAGATATTGATCAGTCAAAAATAAATATCAATCTAAATTCTATGATGATACCTTAATCCCCAATATAGCCAGGAAATCAATCTATGAATGCTAGCAGAGATTTTAACATAGGGATTAATAGATTAATAAACCCAAGATCTGTATCACCAAACATTAGTAATTTCCCAGAACCCAAAAATTATCTTGGCGAGCCACCACACATTAATCCTCAGGCTTCAATATCTCTCTAAAGAAATAATTAAGGAATGAAGAGATACAATTCTGGCAATGGATAAAATTAATATTCATCTTTCAATATCACTAACATAAATTAGCATTCATAAAAAAATGTCAACCTTCCAATGGCTAGCTCAGGCACAACGCAGGCCTCTCATAATAATTTGATGGCAGCTGATTAGATGCAGACTCAAGCAGCAATTTTGTCGCATAGACTAACTCATACAGAGTTAAAGCTATATCAATCATGCCAGAAAATGGTAGATGCTGCCTCAAAAATGGAATGTACTTAGTGCATGGGGGTATTCCCAACAACTTATTTTTATGATCACATTGTCTCAAGCTAATCTTAGTGTGCCTAAATTATAAATGAAAATCAAATTTAAACTAGCAGAAGTTAAACGAGAGTAATTAATAGAATGAACCAAGAAGATTTTACACTTTGTCTGGAGGAAGAATCAATGATAGGAGATAATAAAAATATAATGCTCGAAAGTCATAATAATTTCTAGAATACACTTCAGAAAATGACATCTACTGCTAGATCAAGAGCTGTAAAGGCAAATATCATGAATAGAAGTAAAGAATTTATCTAGAACTACCATCAAAAGTATCCCTAAAAAGATAAATTCGCAATGACTCATGGGTCTCATGATTTTAATATGCTAAAATCATAAAATAATAATCCAAACTTTTTCAGAGATAACTCTGGCTCTAAAAATTCTAGATAACCGATTAATATAAAGTAGAACTATGATAGATTTGTTGAGGATTATTAAGCAAATGAATCATATGCTAAAGACTCAAAAATTCCAAAGCCTCAAAGGAAAAATATGTTAAAAACCAATAAATCCCCTTAAAATCTAATGCTAGAGACTCCAAGCAGCTAAGATGAGGAATTATAATTGAAAGTTAATTATAGACACCAAATCAGCAATTATGATTCAGTTCAGTTATAGCATTAAGCTTCAATTGAATAGTAATAGTAATTTTTATCGACAGGTTAAGATATTGGATATGATACTAATGATGTAAAGGAGGAGGATTCTTCATTTGAAGAGGACTCAATAACAAAGGAAGATAGAATAAGAAGAGTTGATGATGGATCTAATGATGTTGGTGATGAAGGCAACAAAAGTACTTATCTTAGACCGTCTAAAAATAATAAAAGTGCGAATGATGTTAATAAGTCTCAATTCTAAGACCCTAAAAAGAGGCAGAATGGAAAGGAAAAAATTACTTCAAACAAAAAATCAAGTTCTTAAAAGTATAAAGTTCCCTTAAAACTTGGCAAAAACAAGGAAAATAACACTTAAAGAAATTTAAACTTTAACAAAATGAACACTTGCAAAGCCAGACCAAATAACTAGTATCCTTTGACATTCAGACATCAAGAAGCTATTAATGCTAATTATTATCACAATTAGTCGGAGTTAATAAATGAAAGAAGCAACTAAAAGAGTTCTCAAAAAAAGTAAATATTGAGAAATAAAATGATTATGGAGAAATCCAGAATGCAAGAGGATGACTCACTTAGAGAAAATCAGCAAAGACTTCCATTCACCTAGTAAAAGGGAGGAAATAGGTATAATCCACTTTTAAGGTGTTCCTAGTCTGCTAGTTAAACTAATAACAGTTTTGTAAGCCCAAAGAATCTTATGTTTAGGTAAAAGTAAGATCAGACAAATCTAGTAGATATAAGTGCTTTTAGTTCCCAATAAATAGGTTCACCCAATGTAAAAGATTAGATATAGTATAGCTCACATCACATTAAAAGTACTTCATCAGGGTGCGTTAATTCAGATTTAATCTCTCCTTAAAATGAATTCAGAAACCTGCATGAGTAGCAATAGTTCTAAGATTATGAAACAAACGAAAATGATCTTATTATAAATAATTAACTTCAAGGAAAATTCTAAATTCTTGATCCCAGAAATTAGACATAGAGGATTGAGGCTCATTTGGATCAAATCTTGATGGATGACGATTGTGATTTATTCGGAAATTATGTTGTCACAGGTTTGAACAATGGAGGAATGACTTCTTAGCGTCATGTAGGAACTCATGAGTTTTAGCCCAATTTGATTGTCTAGCAGGAAAATAAATTTGCAACCTTGTCTAGTAATAATTTAGTAGTATATGAGAGTCAATCAATCTAGTAGTAAGAAACCTAGTACCAAAATATTATCTAAGATTAGTATTTCACATAAGGATCATCAACTTCAAATCCAGTTATGATATAATAAAATAGATAAGGAACTACAAATTCGCATACTCGTAAAAGTAAAATTTATAACTCTACATAAAACCTACATGTGAAATCACCGGTAGCATTTAGAGAATAACAAATGTATGTTATTCGAGAGAGCTGTCCATCTCCACTTGGTGAGGATGATATAATTGATGATATGGGATGTCCTTTTGACTAAACTCATGGGACTTCTTAATTAAACATCAGTCATTTTAATTAGCATTACGCGATGGGACTGCCTAGTGCTAAGTAGCCTAGTTAGCATTAGGATTAAGTAGTGCATATTCTTCCTCTGCCTAAATTTATTAAGACTTTGCCTTTAATGAGAATGAGATCAATCACCTAAATGAATGTTAATAGACAATTATGACTAAGATTATTTCAATAACCTTTTACTTATTTTCTAGATAACGTCACTTTGGGGTTTTGGGGTTTTGGGG